GACACAAGATTTGAACCCTCCTGACGACGAAGATTAAATTGACTAAGGCAGAGCGATTGGGGAGAGGAAAGATGTGGTTATTCTGCGAACCATTTGTTTACTATTCAGATATCTCAAAAGTCAACATGCTACTTAGGAGTGATAGCAGTCCAGGGAGCGTCCAGGATTCATGGTTGTCAGGACCTCAACATCCATCCTTTCGCAACCCAAAATCAGGCCCAGATGGGGGGTGGGGGAGGTGACGACAGACAGAGAGAGAAGAGTTGACTTCCCGCCGCAGTGGCGTATTGCTGGCTCTGTGATCAGTCCCCCGGCTAGTAAAAGATAACTACTAACGCAAGAAGGAATAACGACAAAGACAAGGGAGACTGGAATGACCATTTCTGGCTTAATAACCGCCATCCATCAGTCAGTCGGTCATACTCAAAACCAGCCTCGTGGGGCCTGTAATTGAAGTCCGCATTCGTTGGTTCATTAGCGTTAAGTGGACCAATGCCTTGCCGTTTAGCCTCTCGGGAATATAACCTAGTGCTGAAAGCGCATTTGGTAAACGCTTTTCCAACGACAATTAACATGTACATATCCCGTTGCAATGATATACCTAGGCAATTTTAATCCCAATTCCCAGAAAAGGTGCACAAAAATCGCTCAAAGTATGATTTTTTTCTTAGGCTCTTTTACGTCAAGGGGAGTACCACAGCTTTGACAGTCTTATTCTGCCTACATATTAGGAGACTCAACTTTTGCAGTTCTTAAAGTTCCCGAATCACACATCGCGTACATTCTTTAAACCAAGCGCAAATAGCCCTTTGTGTACTTAAAAAGAATTATTCCAATCTATGTACAACATTTGAGGAGGTCAATGGATTCCACTGTGCACGTTGCGAAACCTAAGTATGCATGAGGATAATAGTTGGTACGGATAATAATGCGATTAACTTAAGCGTCCGCCTAATAACAAACTGCTTAAGAATTTGAATACCTTCCCCCCCCACTTGAAGCAAGTGGGGTAAAAAATGCTTGCTTCTAAAATATCATTTTGCGTGCGCAAAAGCAGTTAGAAGGTGCGGCAAAGTACTAAGAGTTACAAAGCAGACATCTGCTCGTTTACGCTTAAGTAAAGCTGGACGAAGAAACGTTTGCTAACAGCTCAAGAATCTGTGTCATACAAAGTCAGAAAGTCCCTCTGAAAAAGCGGAAAGCTGGGGCCTTAGCCCTCAAAATATCTCACCGACCTGCAAACAAATACACATTTACCTGAAACCCCCGCGAGGTAAACTTGCACGCCAATAGCATTGAAGTCCTTGATTAACTAGAGGAGAAAAGAAAAAATAAAAAGACGTTTCTGCATAAATATTATTCTAGAAATAAGGCTTGAACCCACAGCAATTTCGGTCGGAACCCCATTTCAGGCTATGTAAGTGCACTAAGCTCGCCAATTTGAAAGGAAATAGAGCCAAGATGAGCTGTGTTGAATAGTCAAATTAACTGAACTCGGTAGAAAAACAATGTTGTCCTAACTGAAATTACTTCTCATTGACGAGATCATTGATAACCTGAAAATGAAGACGATTATGACAGTAATAGATCGCCAACTTAAAGGTCTACTCAGTCCTTTGGATAGACAGTCAGACTGCAATCGGTCCTTCTTAATGTGGCCTCTGGGGTACCTGTAACTCCTTTAAAATGCAAATCCATGTGTGTTTGTGGCATGTTTTCGGCGGTGGTTTTGCAGTGACTCAAACCAGAGTGCAACGCTCGCCTCTCACGGCTGTTAGCACGTGCGCACGCACCAGCTTATGCCTACACAAATCCGGTCTGACCAATCATCTCCCTGTGGCTGACTCACACAGGATCTTACTGTGACGACTGCCACACTCACAGGCTTCGGAGGTCGCCTCTTTGGGGGTGCGGAGGCAGGCTCGTTCGACTTTCAACTTCCTCCAACCCATTCTGTACTACCTCTGTACGGAATATACTATTTCTCCCACCCGAAATCCCACCTCTTCTCTTCCCACACGAAACCGTGTCTGAAGGTCCCAGCGGCCAGGGGTCTTCCCTGATTAACCTAACGCCACTACGACAGATCCTTATTGACATCACCCTAGTAGCACCATCACTTAACCGAGATTCAAGCACCCGCCTTCAATGAAACACTCGTTTGATAAGCGTAGACTCCATTTCAAAATTTTCAGCCACCACGGCCATGACCGCGTCTAGCTTTAGTGCTTTTGACTGAGTTTTATGAAGTAAGTTGGGTGGGTACGGGAAAAGAAAGCAAGATAGATGCGATGCATGCATGCATGCAGCGCTACAGGCCAATGAATGTGCAAGTCACTACCCATCCTTTTCGGGATGACAGTAGTTCTGACTGCTTCTGGTTGCAGTGATAGATCACGAGCTCTGATATGAATGGAGGGGACCAGGTCCTTCAAAATATCGTCCAATAAGTAACTTTAATTGCCTCGATTTATCAAATTTCTTGATCTTTGGCCACCACACAGGGTTGTGGATTAAGGTTGAGGTTAGTTTCAGTGGTACGGTTAAATTTAAGGTTAGGATTAGCCTTATGGTCGGGGTGCTGGCTAGAATTGGGTTCGGTTTTCTCTGGGGCTACGCACTCTCGGTTGGTCTTCTAGGGGGGTGGCTTCTTAAAGAACACGGTGATGGCAAATAAATTCCATTGGGAGCCATACCAGTCATCCTTACTCGATTTGTTTTTACTATGCTTCAATGACACGGATAGATGATTGGCAGGCTGGCTGTCTGGGCACCTCTACCCTTCTCAGGCGTCCCACGCAGACGCGCGGATTGTGCACAACATTTGAGCCATGATTCGTCGGGAAGCCTCGGTTCTTAAGGGTCAAAAACTCCTGCACAGCCAACTTAAGAACTCTGACGTCAACACATTAAAGCCATGTTACTAATTCGAAACTTTGTCTATCTAAAATTGACAGTTAATTCTAGGGCCAGGAATTCGGCAAGAAAGTGATAAGGAGACAAGTAATTGGACGGAGTTTAGGATACATCATCAAAAGACGACCGAAGACATACTCCCTGAAGCAGTTCGAGTCCCACAATGTCTACAAAGTTCCAAGGAGCACAGTCGAGGATAATATGCGTCAGGGGGACGGCCGCTGTTAGGGCATCGAGGTGACTCTGCAGAGAGTCTCGCTTCTCGAGGAGTCTGCCTACTGGCGGCAGCTTCTTTCGCGAGCAACCTGGGGTGCAGTTGCAGCCGCATGGATGAGTGCGCTGCTTCGAACCTGGGTCAGGTAACTTGATTCCATCACCAGCCGGTGTCGGCGCCACTACCGAAACGGCGCTTTGCTGTTCGACGATAAGGCCATTTTCTGCGAGAGAATTCGAAAAGCATAAACATAAATGTAGAAGAACAGAATAAGGCTGTAGAGCTGTGGCTGCGTATCAACCGCAGCAATTTCTTTCGGCGTGTGGCCAAAGTAGGCGCTTAAAAATAATCTTAGCCGAACTTCAGCTGAAATGAATTGTAAGTACAGTCAGTGAGCAATCTCACCAAAATGTTAAAATGCGTTTTAGTTTAGGATTGATTACATAAAGGGAATTATAATTTTTACTATCATGAAGCATGATCTTAAGATAGTTCAGGCACAGCAAAATGAGGCTCGTGAAAGTCTTTTTGGCCTACTTATAGAACCTCACTTGATAAAACATTACTGTCAAAACAATGTGCAGTTTGGGCGCACAAGTAGGCACTTATCCAAAAGAATAAGGGAATACCTGCCGGCACGGCTAATAAAAAGCATAAGCAGCGCCATGCTCGCGCACATGGTTGATTGCGGACAGTGTGTGGACCCCAACGAAGCCTTCCGTGTGATTTATAAGGTCCCACCAAACTACTCCAAGTTTGTGGGTTAGCGCCTGCTAGCAGTAACAAAAGCGACCGCTATCAGGTTGAGGATTCACTTGGATGAAAAGGCGAACATTATTGACCGCATGTTTTAATTTGTACCCCGTTCCTATATAAATGTACTGGCCCAACGAGAGTTTATACAAAGCTTACGTATACGCGCCAACTGCTCTTAAAATGGTATACTGAAAGGCGACACGAGAATGGCCGCTGCCTGCAATAACCTTGTGCTAGATTCCATGGAGGATAGCTATTTTCGTGTCCTAACCAAAACCGTAACCGCAATCGTTAGATTTACCCTAAACCAATCCCTAACCCTGAAATTAACTGGGACCTCGTCTTTCCTCTCACGCCCAGTTCACCTTCAGCCCAATCCAGACCCTACTCCTAACTTTAGTCCTATTCTTAACCCTGGGTCTGTGTTCTCTGGGATCTGGAGCAAAACCACCTATATACAAGATTGTTCTTGTGCTCATATCCTGCCGGTAAAGGGGACATAGAAGTAATCCTAATTGCACTAATAGCTTGCTTTAGACTGAACAAAGGTACAATAGCATTGATATGTTACCTAGTAAAATCTTAGGGGACTCAGTCGCAAACTCAGTCAACTTTAAGTCAATTTTCAGGGTCAAAAGCCATCTGTGACGTAGTCATACCAAGGATATTTTCACGAGATGCGTCGCCACCGCCCAATACCCAGGAGTCCACGGTGTCTGTTTGTCTGGAAATGGAGCGTCCAACCGGTCCTTCGTAGTCCGGATGGAACTCAATCTGCCTGTCCAGTAGGGCAATGTCCTTTTTCAGTTTTTCTTCGTGGAAGCGCACCAGCCGGGGATCAAATCCTGCAGCTGACATAATCGATTGTACAAACTGATCACCGCATGCGTAGAAGACGTTTCCGTGGTACCGGATCACCTTTATCGAAGCGCTTTCTTTACACTAAAGTGAGCAGCATGAGATAAAAAAACGATGTAAGTGACTTCACTCTATCAAAACAGGAGAAAAACCTGTACGCGCACTTTAAGACAGGACCGTGCATATTGTTTTACAGAACTGACAGAGCTTAAAGAGGTTTTACCCTTAGTTATTGGCAATAACCATTTATTCATGATTTAGGGACTTTCCCAGCCAGGCTGCAGAATCTTTTCCGTAAACTACAGTTCACTTTTCCTTTAGTCTGACGATAGACAAGTGTTACGTGCTTGAAAATTAACGAGTAAAACTTGATTTTCCGACGAACTTTCTTCCTTTGCCAGTATGGGTCCTGGTCGAGAGCACAGAAATACATGTTTCACCGACATTTGGCCGTTGTATAACGCACCTGTGAGGGTTTTGACGCCCCAGAGGGACCCCAAGCGTTCTCCGTGTGCTTTCTGGCATATACTCCAGTTTGAAATATCACGTTATATCATCTTCTCAGAAGCCAATGTCAACGTGAAATAAATGCTTCCAGACAAACCTTTCCATACAAAGCCCGAAGGGAGATATGAATATTTAAACTGAAATCTATTGAGCGACAGTTTTTCTCCGAAAAAACCACAAATGACACTTCATTTTTGAATTCTCAGGTTTGCCTTAGGAGTTTTTTCACAGTCTGCTCGTTTCGCTCGGTTACACCTGCTGGCTCGTGTTAACTGACATCACCACATGTGATTGTGTTACTTGGAACAAGTTAGTAGTAGCCTAAAATTATGTGAACGACCTTTGAAATGCTCGGCTGTGCCGATGCAGTTCTCAACTACTGTGTACCAATAGAGCGTTCAAGTGTTTGCCTATAATTCCCTTAATAAACTTGACTTGACTTAACTAATATTTACAATCTACTAACAGTGAGTCAGTAGTCCATAAAAATTGAATGATTCACCATACTGCCAGCACGGGTAATGAATATTGCTGCGTGATGCAACGAATGATTATTCCGTTGGAGTTAACAGATTAATAGCAACTTTTCAACCGAGTCTGAAAAGGTCTACTCCGTTGAAATTCTTCTAAGTGCACGCATAAGTTGCAGGAAAACGTAACATGGACGGCGCGTTGTTGTTTAGTCTTGAGGTACAACATTCAAATCTGTCGTTTAAACAATGAAAATATTCTAACTATTCACTCATTGATTTGATTAAAACCTCAAATTAATTATTTATTCAGTTATTTGAAAAATGTTGAAAAAACGAGCCATTTTCGGATTTTCTACTGACGACTACAAAATCCCTAAACCAGCAAAAGTTAACTTAAATCTAAATCAAAAATGCCTACATAAATCCTAGCAGGGAGACATTCGTGATTGAAATTGTGTACCGAATAATTTCGTACAAGCATAACTGCCAAAAGCAAAAACCACGTGTTACTCCAAATTCAAACCTACCAACGTGTATTTACATACAAAATAGCCAATATAAGCCATATCATCGTCAAACGCTTCAACTTCAAAAGCATTAGTCTTAAACAGGTATCTGAAACGTAGATACACAACGTAAGCTTGCCATACAGCTTCTTTACCGATAAGCATAATTTTTTACAAGTCGGGATACACTCTTAAATGTAGAAACGACGTAGCTTAGCGTTTGACCGTATTCCATACATCATCATTGCAACCAGAGTTATGAGCCACATTCGATTCGAAAGAAACGCTAACTCAACACATTTTTCTGATCAGTTAACAGACAAAGGTTAAATATTCCCCTTACGTGAAGAAAAATGTAAAAATAGCAAATAAACGCAATTGGAAAGCACATCTGACCACTTTATAGCCGGCGGATGAGTCGAAGACTTCAGTCCCACCGAAATGACCGAGAACTTCAACCTTTTGTAGTCGGGCACGAAGCAGGACAGAAAATGCAGAGAAAAGGATTCCCACGATGAGGCCGTAGATGACGTCGAGAAAAATCGTTGCGATGAAAGTGATAGTCCATGAGAGCTATTCAAAGTCAAACAACAACGCCTACTCACTAATTGTCAGTACAAAAGCAAATACGCGCTTAAATACGCAATAATACGAGAGTTCAAAAGACAGTACTGTTGGATAATATCAAAAGGTGATTAACTCACAAAGTCCCAAATGGAAAACCGCCAGAGACGAGGCAGACACTTCATCTGCGTAAACATTCCAACCAACGCGACCAAGATTATGGATGACAAGCAACACTAAAGAAGAAGAAAGAAAATCACGTTCGTCAACCCATCGCATGAAGGAGCGCAGGTGTATTTTAATTTTCATAAACAAAATGTATAGCAAAAATAGATCTGCTCCCTCCCACCTAGCGCAAATTTCATTATTAATGAACTGAATAGCTGACGTGGGAACACGTGCGAGCATCAACCATAGACGCCCATTTGACCATCGATTCGGATTATGTCCACAGTTTGCTCTACACGATGGTGATGAAGGGACGGTGACTTATGCGTGGATTTGATTTGAGTGATAGCAGACTTGCGCCGCATCTACCACACTCTCTCTTTTCTTCATCTGCCTGTGTCTGGTAGGAAAACAGAGTCAAGAAGACCGGAGGTGGGACCGAGCGCACACGGTGGACGCGGCGTAAACTTGCATTTATACTTGCCACTACGCCCGCTCATGTTCAGAATGTGTTATGCAAGCGCAATCAAAGGAACGTCTGCTAGGCCCGGTCAGCTCTCCGTATTGGTCCTTCGTATCTACCACGCGGGGGTTTTAGGGGAGGGTAGTAGTGTCAGTTACTGTCATAAATAGATAACAAACATTTACTTTCAGTCGACAGGGTAATCAGTTTCCTCAGCTAAAACGGTAGAATGCCCAGTGACAAATAGAGACAAAAATATAAGCATATCATCGGAAGCA